AACCTAGGAATCAGGTTTTCGAAATTTGATCTTTTTACAATGTCCATCCAGTTTGGCTACTTGATTTATTCTTTCTGACATGTGCATGTGATTTCATCTGATCGATTTTCACTTGTTCTTTTACTCCATAATGTTGAATTATCTTGTCTGTTGGTAGCTTACAGGGGAGGTCATTCTGGTGCATCGAGGTAACTGTAGTTTCACAGTGAAGACAAATGTTGCTGAAGAAGCTGGTGCTTCTGCTATCCTCATAATAAACAACCAAACAGGTATCTCATGTCCTTTTACCACTTATGCGACTTTATGAGTTTGACCATCTTGATGGCATCGTGGAGTTAAAATTACCGCACATCCAATACATGTAGGCATTGCCTTGATGGATAGATCTTCATTTTATAGTAGATATTTTGTTGCTGAACCAGAGAAAAAGAAGATATTCTGTGCAGAATACATGATAAAATTATTGCTTCAAGTTGGAAGTTTGAAGAAATTTTGTGGACATATTTTTGTCTATGGTATCTTTACATTTTGCAACTATAGCCACATCATGAAACATGTCAAATGTCAATTCTACTGCAACTGTGATCGGAAATTACTCATATGATTGCCCTTTTTTGGTGATATGTTTGTAAATATCAATCATTTTATCCATCCTATGTTCCATGTAGCTGTTTTGATATCATTTTTGATATCGGAACATTATGGCTGTGGAAGTTTTGGATCTTTCAGTTGATTTTTTTTCTGTTTACTGATTTGGAGTTGGGGGTTTCGGATGGTCTCTGTCGACAGTCGAGCAAGAAGAGGCAGAAAGGCGGAAGCTGCTTTTTGTACTCTTTCGTGTGGAAGCTCAGGGCTTTTGTTTTTGAATTTGGCTTCTTTGGATTGAGCCAGCTGTGATATTCGGCCTCTGTTTTAGTTGTTTTGTTTTTGTGTTGGTTTCCAGGCTATGTTTAGGTGTTAAGACTGGTCAGTCCTTTTATTGACGGTTGTTGTAGCTAAGATGGTTTTCGCTGTGTTACTGTTGTTGTGTAGGGTTGTTTTCGGTGGTTTCTGGTTGTTTGTTTATGTAGGGGGTGGCGATCTGGTTGTATCTTTTGGTTAATGAAATCTTAAGGCACTCTTTTCCTCCTTCCGCTACAAGCTCCTTTAATCAAGAAGGAGGTTTTTAACGAGACTTTCAATTCCTATAAAAAAAAGATGGGAAATGTTATATTAAAATTGATAGAATTTATTATAGTTACCAATTACAATTATAAGCAGTTATGAGCATCCCAAAACCTATTTGCTTTCTAAATACTGAACCAGTTAATCTTGTTCTACAGAACTCTTCAAGATGGTTTGTGAATCAGATGCTGATGTAAATATAAAAATACCAGCTGTCATGCTTCCTCAGGATGCTGGTTCCAATTTGGAAAAATATATAAATAATAGCACAAAGGGTATGCCTTTCTTTCTTCCCCATTACCGTCCCCTTGATTCTTCGGTAAAAATGATACTCTCTTCTACTCTTTTTCCTTACTTGGTAATACCTCATATGGAATTACGTCGGGATTGAATTATAAATTGTCTGCACTTTTCATCTTTATGTAGTTTCTGTTGCGCTTTACTCCCCAAAGCGTCCAGCAGTTGATATTGCTGAAGTCTTTTTGTGGCTAATGGCGGTTGGTACCATTTTGCTTGCTTCTTATTGGTCTGCATGGACTGCAAGAGAAATTGCTATTGAGCAAGATAAGCTACTAAAGGTTTGTTTTAAAAGCAATTTTTCATGCACTCTTTGTTAAATTCAATACTATTCGTTCTTTCGCTCGATGATGTGCCGAGTGATTTTGTGCAGGATGCATCGGAAGAATTTCTACAAGTGGGAAGTGTTGGTTCAAGTGGTTTTGTTGACATAAATACAATGTCAGCAATTCTCTTCGTTGTGTTTGCTTCATGTTTCTTGGTCATGCTTTATAAGCTTATGTCATTCTGGTTTGTTGAGGTCCTGGTGGTTCTGTTTTGCATCGGTGGAGTAGAGGTGTGCTTTTCCCTATACATTTGTATGCTTAGTTCAGTGTTGCTTATTTCCGCTTTGTCTTTTTGGTAGTTGAAAAGTTAGCAAAATCTTCTCAATATCGTATCCAAAAAATATGTTACCAACTAAAAAGTTTCATGTTGGTCAACGTAATTCGTTAATGTTAAAGACGGAACCTTTACTGTCTGTGCAATTCTTTTTGTTCTTCCAGGGTCTGCAAATCTGCTTGGTGACTTTGTTATCAAGGTATGCATTCCCCCACCCCTCCCAGGACTCTTTTTTCCATGTTTACCGATGTCTCTTTAAGAAATACATGGAAAAAGGAAGTCAGCAGCTCAATCTTTGATACTGACAGCTGAATATATATAGTTTCAGGTGTTTTCAAGGCTTCACAGAATCATTTATTAAAGTACCCTTCTTTGGAGCTGTTTCGCATCTGACGCTAGCTGTTTGTCCCTTATGCATCACATTCGCTGTTGTTTGGGCAGTGTATCGACGAATTTCCTTTGCCTGGATAGGTCAAGATATTCTTGTGAGACAACTTTTCTAGTATTCTTATCTTCGTATGTTTACAGTACCTTGTATTGTATCTGATATATCCATTTGCATATAGTACATTCCTTTTCATTAAGAATCAATATGCTTGGAAACTAGTTTGTTTGGCACTCTTATCACGGTGGGTTTCTGATATTTAATCCTCCTTTCTTTCCCTCTCAATCAGGGTATTGCACTTATAATCACGGTCCTTCAGATTGTTCGTGTTCCAAATCTCAAGGTTTGTACCTCGGTTTTGCTATTGTGTGTCTTGTATCTTCTCCATGTTTATTCACACTAGAATAATTGCAATGTCTTGATAAGTTATTTATGCTCTTTGGTGTTGATTTTTCTTATTGAATCAGGTTGGAACGATTCTTCTCGGCTGCGCTTTCTTTTATGATATCTTCTGGGTGTTCGCTTCCAAACGGTTGTTTCATGAGAGCGTGATGATAGTGGTAAGTAATTACAAGCATTATTTCTTCAGCCCAAAATTCTGATAATGGTTGATATTCTTTCTGTATACCTGTTAGGCCATATAGGGAACAACCTTATGTTATTATTTTTCTGATATGTTAGGTAGCTCGTGGTGATAGGAGTGGTGAGGATGGCATACCGTTGCTTCTAAAAATTCCACGTATGTTTGATCCTTGGGGTGGTTACAGTGTTATCGGATTCGGAGACATAATCTTACCTGGACTGCTTGTGGCGTTTTCACTAAGGTTTGAACGTTTGAGCCATATGTTTTTTGTTTGTTTTCATAGTAATCCGATATGTTCGTCCAAACGTTAAATTAGATTTGTTCCTAATGAAGAATTTTTTTTCGATGTTTTGTTTGCTCATTCACCGATGGTTTTGATGATTTTTGCAGATACGATTGGCTGGCAAATAAGAATCTCCGAACAGGCTACTTTGTGGGCAATGACCGCCTATGGTTTAGGTATCGAGAAATAAGAACGAACCTTAAAAAGCGCTTTAATGGCTACTTCTGACTCGTAAACTACTTAAAACTTCATTCCACAGGTCTTTTGGTCACGTATGTGGCCTTGAACATGATGGACGGACACGGCCAACCAGCATTGCTTTACATCGTTCCGTTCACACTCGGTAAGCAGCTATGAGATTAAGAACATCGTGCACCTGATTTCTCTTACTATGAATGGCTTGTTTGGGACCTCAGGGACCTTTATTGCACTGGGAAAAAAGAGAGGCGATCTTGGGACTCTGTGGACTAGAGGAGAACCGGAACGGCCTTGTCCGCATGTGCAACTTCAGCCCTTGCAACAAAAAGATCAATAATGGTAACGAGCCATGAGAAATAAGTGTCCCCAAATGTGTGCCAATTTCAGTTTCTGGTAGAGAAGCAATTGAAAAGGCCTTTTTCAACCCTATAGGTTGTAGAGAAGAAGCATGTAATGTTTGCTTTCTAGTTATTTCATCGCCATTAGAACCTGACCCTAAGTACTTCTAAACCAGTTCAAGTAATCAAGGATAAGCACTACGCGATCATTGAAGTGGAACATCTGGGCAGTCTATTACAACAAAACTAAGCTGATTTTAGGTGCCTAAACATGTATATTAAGGACTAGTATACTGGTCCCGACAGAGCAGAATGTTGCTTGTTTTCTTGCAGCTTTAGCTTGTGAAAGGCATGCACGAATCAACATACCTTAATAGTTAAAGAAACTGTTTTTGTTTTTAGAGATCACGAGTTAAAGCACAAACAGTTATAGCAGGTGATTGAGCGTTCATTGTCATGTGATAAATATTTAAAAATTCATCGTCATTTTAGCAGTTGAGATAATAATATAAATTTACCGATAATAGTTTCAGGGCTTGATGCAACCAAAAAGTAATTTAAACACTTAATTAAAAAATAAATATAATTTCAAGGACGATGGTTGAATTAAGACTAAAAAATAAAATTTACCATGTTTTTTCTATTAAAAGATCATTAAAATTTCAATCGTATTTTGAAAAAGATATAATGTCAAAATTAGCTCCTAATGCTTATTAAAATGATCATTTTGACATTTATTTTTTGGAACATTTTGGCCCTTAACGTTTTATTTTAGGGTAGAAAGATTCCTATTTTATAGTGTCAACCGTTTGTTAACTGACGGTTTTTATCCATAGAGGGATTTTTATCCCAAAATAAAATATTCTAAAACATAAGGACCAAAATGATGATTTTAATAACTTTTCAGGGTTAATTTTAGCATTATACCTTTAAAAAAACTTGAGCAGGGTCCAATTGGGTCGATGGGTAAGATTCTGGATACGGATTCGGATCAAATTGCCCGGGAATCCGGGCCCAAACAAACAAGCTTCCGGCCCATCAGGTCATTACTTTTTGACTTTTTCGGGTTCCCGCCATCATCCATGGCTCCTATTTAAGCATCGGCGTTTCTTCTTGTTAGAGCTTTTCACTTTAAGTTGTATCTAAATCCTCTTTCTCTAATTTTTTTTATCGAAATTCCAACTCCAACGACCACACTTCTTTAAATGAGGGCTTGAATTCCTCGCTCTAAAGGATTTAATCGATTCTGGAATAAATGAAGTTGAAGATCAACAAAGCCTGCGATCTTGGCTCCATCTCTGTTTTTCCTCCTCATACAAGGTTCCTTTTCACTTTAGATGTTTATCGTTTGTTTCCCGAGAAAGTGCGTGCAAAAAAGTATTTAATTCGTGAAACTTTGCTATTATTACGAAATTGTGATTAGCTTAATCGATTTTATTATGCGGTTTTCTCTTGCTATACGGAAGTGTAACGGTGAGCCGGTGATCCTATTTCTAATTTCGTTTTCTACAGAAAGGAATCTCTTGTTCGAAGACATGTTTGACTGAGGGAGTTTTTTTCTTTCAAATTTCCAGTTTCATGTTTTTCCGTACTTTCTTTTAGGGAAAGAAGAATCACTTAATAAAATTTTATTTTACAAAGAAAATCATGTCTAGACAATTTCGAGATTAGCATCATCTAAGAACTGGGAGTTTGAATTTAAAATTTGAACCTCTTTGTTTATTTAATATATGTGAAGGAGATCAAGCCTGCCGCCGAGTGTACCGCAATCATCACAGCTTAGATCACAGCCATCACAACAATCGATCTCACAGGGGATTTCTTCTCAGCATGCCTTGTTTTCTCAGATCTCACAAAACTCACTCGATGAAATCGTGACAACTGATCATGTTAAATCTCATCTCCTTTTTTTGCTTTTTTCCAGCATTCAAGTTTGCATATAATTCTCCTTATTTTTTTCTTATGAAAAAAAATGCATTTTGCACTTCATTTCTGCAGAGATTTGGTTCCCAAGAGCGAGAGAATGTTGCCAACAAGATTTCTTGTTTGGTTCCAAACAAATTCACAAGAGAAGATAGTCAAGTGCCGATTTCTAGATCTTCCACTGTGCGCAAATGGAATTCTGTTTCTGCTCCAGAGCATCGATGTAAGATTACTATTTAGTTATTTACTACGCTTAGTATCACCAGTTTAATGATCTTACATTTAATGAAGCTTTTGCACTGCATTTTTTTATAGTACAGCAATGGATGGATGCTGAATTTTTTATTTGCTTGACTAGGTCAAACTTCAGAAGAACTTGAGCACCGGATGTCAGTGATTGAAACTTCATTGAACAGATTTGGGATGATCTTAGATTCTGTTCAAAGTGATGTAATGCAGGTGAACAAAGGAACAAAAGAAGTGTTGCTGGAAAGTGAGTCATTTAGTTCCTTTGTTCACCTTAATAACTTGTTGTGCCAATACCTGGCATAAGATTGTGCCATGGTTATAACCATTAAGGTTGTTATATGCCTGTCATTCGTCATTCTAGGATATATGTAAACAAAGAAGAAACCAAGCTCTACCTTTCGTAATTCTAGTACACAATGTTGAATCATCTGACCCAAAACAAATTGGTTATATGTGGCGAGCCCAACTCTGATATAAGAGTATCCAATACCTGGAATATAGGATAAGCTACTTAACAGTCCCCATGTATAGAAAACCTAGATATGAACAACCTTGCCTGTGATTAGGCAAAAGAAAGGAAAAAACAACTTTAATACAAATAAGAAACCCAAACTTAAAAGATATGGAATAACATTAGCAACACATATAATTATATGTAAGGCAATAAAACTTAGTTTTCCATTAGTTAAATGAAGTTTCTTACAATTTTTTTTCAGTGGAAGGGATGCGGCAGAGGTTGATTGCTGAAGATACCTCTCTACATCTAATGGTAACTAATAACACATCACTGTCCTCTTTTACTTTGTAAATTGACTACCCTTGTTATGAGCATGCATAAATATAGAAATTTTTAAAACAACTGAGATTTGTTAAACAGAACAAGGGTCAAGAAGATATCAAAGCCAGTCTTGATGGCAGCATGAAAGCTATATCAGATCAACTAAACAATGCTGTATATGGTGACAAGTTACAAAACATCTTCTTCGTGCTTTCTACTTTACCAGAACAGATGGAAGCTTCTTTAATCAAACTACAAAACGAGCTTTGCAACTCCTTCACCAAAGAAATAAAGGTACGTATATGCTGTAAGAGTTTAACTCCAAAATGCATAGAACATTTAGACTTTTAAATGATACATTCAGTTCTGTGGTCTTGAATGGCATGAAATTCCCTTCAAGTAAATCATCATTTCCTTTTCCCAATATAAACAACACTTCGGTGTTCTGTATTTTCAAACATTTTCTGTCAGTCATGTTTCTCAGCTTGTAAAGCATTTTATTATCATTGTATTGGAACCTTCAGGCAATCGCTGGCAATGTGAAGACTCTCATCCAAAATGGTCCAGTTGCTTCTGGTCTTCCACCTAAGGTGTTTTTATGTTCTCATTGAATAATTATTTATCTTTAAAGAAATCATGTAATGACAACAGAATTTCTCAGTAAAACTTTCTTATTCGCAACATTCAGTTTTCCGACTGTTGTACAACTCCACAAACCAAACCATTATCAGATAAGAAGTACGCAATACTCGGACTATTGGCTCTACTGTTACTGTCTTCACTTCAAAATTCTAATACATTCTCTTGCTTCTAGACAAGCTGTGCCTCAAAAGGTTTATGAGCAAACCTCTCTAGCTCCAGAGGTAGACAAAGGAGGTTGGAAATATGTAAAAATGAAGCAACCTGCTACAAATGAAAGGACATACCGCAAAGAAAACGACAAGAGTAAAGGAGTTTCGTCTGTTGAACAGGTAATTCTTACTCCACCTTTGTTTTTATTTTTCTCCTCCACTTTTCCCCTGGCTACTATTCTTCAAGCTTTCTAATGGAGATGTGCTGGCCTGTTTGAGGATATTTTAAGGCAAGTGATTTGCACGAATAATAAGTTGCACGGACTTGCATTCCTTCCCCATTTGACAGTTTGTTTTAGCCTATTTGCTGCCTTGAGTTGTTTATGCTTAATTGAAGGGCCAATCCTCAATTCAGGAAACATACAGAATCTTAATTGAATCAGATGAAGAGATTGATGCAGGGTTTTCCTGCTTGCTTAGCGGCAAGGAAACAGGTAGTACCCATTTAACAAAATCAGAGACTACATGATTCAGTTTCTGCTTATTAGTTACCGAGAGATGATTTCAAACACTAACATGCTTAAAATGAGAAAAAATCCAAATAGTTTGGATAACATGGATATCTGTTTCTATAACTTGCTGCTGTGTAAAGGTTCTAATTTCTCTTATCATCCTTTTTTTTAACATAGATTTTTTTAAAGATGGCACAACAAACATTTCGATAGAGGAAGCAAAGGAAGAGACCGAACGAATTTTGAGGAAAGCTAGGCGGCGAAAGAGAAAGTCCCATAATACCATAATTATTAACTGAAGGTACCAACGCAGATAATAAGCATAAAAAATTAAAAGGGGGACTTATTTTTGGGAATCATAAATATATGTTGACATCGATTGTACTTAGCTAGATCCTGTTCCACCAATGATTGGAATCGACTTTCTTTAGACGTACTTTGATTTTGTAATTAACACCGTTACATTTTAGTCTTCCATCTTGAATAAGTCTTAAGTCCACCTAATACTTTTATGTTCAAAAAGTATGTTTGAATTTTTGTTAAGAGTATGAATCAATTTACTTTGATGGTTAAAAGAATCGTTTTATTCTTAGAAGTCACAAGTTTGAGCACCAACGACTATATTAAGGTGATTGAACATATTTAGAACATATATTACTTTATAAATATTTTGATCATCCAGGAAGCAGTTCATTCGATGATGAAACTCAAAGGAAGGAAGGGTGCAGTGATTGCTAAAATAGACCTTCAGAAAGCCTTTGATAATGTTAGCTGGGAATTTCTTAAGAAAACCCTTCAAGACTTTAATTTTCCTGAGAGTTTGGTTGAGACTATAATGTTCTGCATTACTTCCTGTACAATTGAACCGTTTTGGAATGGGGAAATCACCGAGAGTTTGAATCCAAAGCAAGGTCTACGTCAAGGCGATCCGCTATCACCGTACTTGTTCATATTAGTTATGGAAAGACTTTCCCACATTATCATGGAGAAAGAAGAAAGGGGTACATGGAAACCGTTTAAGAGCTCGAGGGGTGGAATTAAATTAAGCCATTTATTCTTTGCGGACGATCTCTTACTGTTTACAGAAGCAGATTCAAATCAAATGCAAAACATGAGAAGTTGCCTAAATGAATTTAGCCGTGCAACTGGAGTTGAGGTAAATCTTCTGAAATCAAAATTATTTATCTCCCCAAATATTAACTCTAACACAGCTCATTACTTAAGTAATTTGTGTGGCATCCCTCTTACGGATAACTTGGGAACTTACTTGGGAGTTCCTATCATCCACAAAAGGGTTAATTCAGGAACCTATGGTCCTCTCATTGAGAAAATCATTAAAAGATTGGCAGGCTGGAAAGGAAGAGTTCTATCCATGGCGGGTAGAAGAAAACTTATTCAATTCGTCTCCAGTGCTGTGCCATTACACACGATGCAGACATCCGTGCTTTTTATTTCGGTCTGTAAAAAGCTGGATAGCCTAAATTGTAACTTTTTGTGGGGAGGAGACACAGTGTATGCTCATAATCATCTGGTTAGCTGAGATAAAGTTTGTTGATCAAAAAAGATGGGAGGATTAGGAATTCGTAAAGCAAGATTAATGAACATCGCTCTTATGACAAAGAACAGTTAGAAACTCCTCACTAGACAAGAAAATCTCTGGTGTAAAGTGTTTACCGGGAAGTATCTTAAAAATAAGGAATTCTTGGAGGTAGACTCAAGTGGAAACAACTCTTCCACTTGGAGGGGCTTGCTACGAACTCGGAACTTAATTAAACAAGGGAGAAAATGGCAAATAAAATCAAGTATTCAAGCAAAATTCTGCCAGGACTGGTGGTTAGGAAAAGAACCACTGAAAAATTCATATCCTTTAATGGACAATCCAAGCAGAAATGAAGAGGTGGCCAGATATATTGATGAAGATAGAACTTGGAATATCCGAGAAATCCAACATCAAATCTCTGAAGAAACAAGGAGGGAAATCTAAAGAGTTCCGATTCCAGTCCTAACCGATCCGCATGAACGAGATGAAATTACTTGGGGCTTATCCAAGGATGAGCAATTTACGGTGAGTTCAGCTTACCACTCAATTTCTAATATGGAGATGGGTGGTCAACATGGGGAAAATCTTGAGTGGGTATGGAAAACTAAAACCATCGAACGAATCAGGTTCTTTATTTGGTTGTCATACCTAGACAAACTTAACACAAATGAGGTTAGGTGCAGGAAGAACATGACACAATATGCGAACTGCAAAAGTTGTCGAAATGTAACAGAATCAATCGATCACATTTTCCGAAGGTGTAACATTGCTAAATTTGTTTGGGAAGAATTAAATGCTACGGAACAGGACAGCCGATTCACTTCGATGGATTTCAAGAATTGGCTGAAATCAAACTGTCTTTCTAAGAAAGTCGGGCTCGATGGATTAGAATGGGGACCTTTGTTCATGGCTACTATTTGGGGACTGTGGAAGAGCAAGAATGAAATGATCTTTAAAGAAACATCAATGAATCCCTCTCAAGTGATTACCTATGCCAAACGGCTTGCAATGGATGTAGATAAAACCCTGTTAAACTCACATAGCAGGATGTTTAATGATCCTTGTTGGGTTAAATGGAAAAAACCTCCTGAAGGGGGTTGGATTCTAAATACTGATGGTGTGTATAAAATGAATTCTAGCCTGGCGGCTGCAGGTGGTCTGATTCGAGATAGCAATGGGGATTGGAAAGCGGGATTCATGCTTAGACTAGGGAGGGTTAATAGCTCGCTCGCTGAAATTTGGGGGGCTCTGCAGGGTCTCTTGTTAGCGAAAAGTCTAGGGCTTAGAAACCTAATCCTAGAGATGGATGCAAAATGGATTGTGGACCTCTTTAATGGAGACAAAATGGTTGACGCCTCTGAAACAGATTTGGTAAATGATTATTTAGACATCCTTAAGGAAGTATGGGTGGTTGAAGTTCGGCACATCTGGCGTGAAGGAAACAAATGCGTCGATAAACTTGCGAGAATCTCGCACTTCTACAAGGAGATGATTCCACTATTCTAAAGTTGTCTCCACCTGAAATTCAGACGTTGTTGGGAGCGGATAAGAACCAGGAGCACCAGCTGAGACACTAGTTTACTGCTTTGTTCAAGTGTACCAAAAAACAAATCACCTTAGTTTAATAAAAAATATTGTTAGGATGCTTTTTGATTTTTTTAAATAATTATAAATACACTAATTTAATTAAAATTTACACAATATTTTTCTCATATTATATATAAAATTTATTAAGTCTTCACTGCAGGGGAAGCGGCTCTCGATTTACAGGTATAGCAAGGCGTTGGAAAGCGCTTAAAAATATGTACCATTTTCATTCAACTCTAGACAATTGTTGCATGTTAGGGAATAGTGTATTCCTAGCTAATATAACAAACACTTTTTGTACAAATGAAATCGGTATGGAATGTTTTGATCAAGATTAAATCATGAATGCTTACTGGGATAAAATAAATTGCCTATTATGTACATAACTTTTTTTTACCATTCTTCTAATAATTCCATATCATGGCAATCAAGCAATAAACCATGGTGCACATGGGAAAGAAAAGGAAATCATTTCTTGAACATATCTGTGAGCTCGGTTTACTTTTCAACTCTCAAATCTTTTCCGAGGTGATAACTCGGAAACCTCTCACTAGATCCACCAGAAGATTCAGCTTCTTCCATCTCACTGAACGTTACGTATGTGGAAGGCAAGTAAGCTTGTGGGATATCCAAAGCAACTGCTCTATGAAGAGCCTGCCTTGTGCTCTTCACTATGTTCTCGAGCAAGAGACTCTTGCCGCGCCATTTTCTGCTTTGCAGGAACTCGCATTATCCCGTCTTTCTCCAGCATCAACTACAATAAACAGAATGTGAGCTTTAATATTTTGTTGGAATAACGAAACTATTTTCCTATTTCTACCAATGGCTCATGTTAGGATCTAAGCCTACAATATATTATCAATAGACATTCGAGTATGTTGATCTAGCCCTAAACTTCGTAACCAAATTTGACAGGCTGAAGTCAAAGATCAAGTCCACATATACAACAAATACATACAAATTAACAATATATAGTAAGACAAATTTACCTGAAGCACTATCGTGTTTATTACATCTGCATATCGAACTGCCAAGTTGAGTGGCATACACCGAGCAGGCGCAATGGCATAGCATATAATCCAATTCTTGTCCGTGATTCCCAATTTGCTACGATTTTGAACTACAACCATCGCCAACAAGGCCACCAATCCCGCCCCAAGGTAATGACCTGCAAATGTCAAAGTGTAGCTAGGATGCTTCTTAACCAATTCCCTTAAAACCTCACACTCAGCATCGAAAACCCACTTGGCAGCCTTCGATAACCCATTGTGCACATATCCACCATCAAATTTTGTCTGCCCCAGTTTATTATCAAGCAAAACAGCATAATCACTTTCCTTTGCCAAGTTAAGTCCCCTAACAGCCAAGACAATATCAGCGTTATCATGATCCAAATAAACAAAGTAAGGTGGAGTTCGGCCTTGAGTTTCTTGGTCATTTCTTCTTAAGAAAACCCAATCAGGATCGATTCCATAGCCTCCAGGGGGTGCCCAAAGAGGGTTATGAAGATCATCTTCATAAACAGCTAGAATTAAAAGACACAGGCGTGGTATCGGCTCGAATTCTTCCACTGTGGCTAAACCCCAGTGCCCGCTTTCTTGGCCTGCAGTGTATAGACATTTCTTCCATACCCAACGAGCACAGGCTAAACAGTAAACACATTCAATGATGGGACAGCAACAGGCGATTGACAGGGGCTCCCCTATGAATCAAACACATTTAATAACATGCAAGGGATCAATCTAAAGATTAAGTAACACGAAACACATACAAAAACAGGGTTTTTTTTTTCTGAATCAATGGTGGAAAATTTTATAAGGGTAACTTACGGTCAGCTAAAACTGGTTTTATAAAGTGATTCAAGTAGTCAAAGGAAGCATTCGAAGGGGATTACTAGTAGGCTCTGAAATCCCAAGTCGGTCCAATCATCAGCCAAAAGAAGATGAAGGAATCCTAGCTGATCAACAGGAAACTACAAGAAAACAAAAGTTACCCACATAAAAGCTCCAATAAAAGTGAAAAGAAAATATTAAAAACAAAAAGGATAAACTTTGAAACATAAAGGGGGGATTCAAGAAAGCAAAGAAAAGTACTAGGATTTGGGGTAAGTGAAGATTGGAGAAGTTCAGGGGTGGGGTTTGGGTTATGTTCTACAGCTACCCTTCTGATAGCGGTTGGATGAAAATTAGCAAAGGAAAAGAAGAGACAAATATTAGAAGAAAAGCCATGGATGAATCGGCTAGAGAGCTTGTTTGTACCTGCTAAGCCATGGATGAAAATTTTTTGCTTGTTTTGAAGACTGTGAGTTGGCTATCCGGAAACTACGCAATCTGGAATGATGCACATATACTTTCTTCCTACTTACTTAAAATAATGGACCAACTGATTCGGTCCATGGTTTTATTGGGTTTCAGGGATGCGCCCTATGTGTTGAAAAGCTTCCTTCTTTAAGTTCATGGGCCAATGAAGAACCAAGAGATTGCCTTTTAATTATTATTTTCAAGTGAGAGTTTTATACTATATTATTATTTTAAATTATGCGTCACATAATTTTATTTGTATAGATATTTTATAATTTTTATAGATGTTTATATTCTAAGTCATGTTATGTTTTAAAATGAAAATGAAAATAAAAATAAAAATAATAGTTACCTCAATAATTTGATGTGACATCTTAAACTTATAATAATCATATTTAACATTACGATATTACAATAATTAATTATAATATTATGATATTAATTGATTTAATTTAAATAAGTTTTTTAAGTATATAATATATATTTTTTATTTTGTATGTACAAATAAAACTTATAATGTTATTTAATAAATTAAATATCATATAAAATTTTATAATATATATCATGCTACTTTTAAATAAGGAATTTGAGGACAAGGTATCAATAGAAAGAAGAACTTAAAAAATTACAATTAGAATATCAAATTGAATCTAACATAAAATTGAGCGATTAAATTACAAAAAATAGAATACTTATTGAGAAAAAGAAAAATCAATCTTACACATATATTCTACTATGGTTGAAGAGTATGATTTAAATTTAATGAAAAATAGACTTAAAATGAACGAAAAATTAAAGAAAAAAAATAAAGAATCAAATCACGAAACAATCAAAACAACGAAAGATAAAAAAAGTCGTTTTAATTTTTTAAACTTTTCTGAACCAAAACTTGAAAATAAAAAAAAACAAAATTTTCGACTTAGAATCTAGTTTTGCTCCCCTGATGATTGTTTTGATGATTTGTGGGTTGTTTTACCTTTATCTCAAGAAGCAGTGCTTAAGATAACCAAACCTCCCACCCCCAGTCTTCCAACACAGAGGTTAAATAGGATAAATTACAAATTTCATCACTAAACTTTGTTCATCCTCCTATTTTGCTCACTGAACTTTAAAAATTTTTAATTTCCTCACCAACTTAATAAATTGGATTTTTTTTATCATTCCGTTGTTAAATAATTAACATTAAAATGATGTCATAAAAAATTCACCAAAATGATACAGTTGACATCTATATAAAAAACCATTTTAACGCGTTATTGAAGAAACGACCAAGTGACCATAAAAACCCAATATATTAAATTCAAAGAAGAAATTGAAAATATTTGAATTACAATGAGAGAAATAAGAGAGAAAGTAGAGAGAAAGTGTAAATTTCAATTACCAAATTTGTAATTTACCCTAATAAATAAAAAAAAGTTTTATGACTCCATTAATAAAATGTTCATTTCAAGTTCAAGTTACAGTCTATTACAGCTCAATAATATAATGTTTTCCACAAGTTACAGTCTTGCAAAATCTCAACTCTAAAACTAGTCTTAACAATAATTACACCGCAAACAGCTCTACATCTTACAAACAAAACCCCCCCGTAGAATTGAGAAAATAAGAGGGAAATGCATTACAGCCGACGATACTCCCTATGTAACATAATATTATGAAATACCAACTGAGACACACATTAAAAACCATCTTCAAGTAATTACACCATAAACCATACCTGCAATTGGGGAAGGGCGAAAACTCACAAGCGAAATTTACAAATAAACCTCCATTGATTCAACCAACTTCCTCTGTTAAAACCAGGATGTGATTATTCCATTGCAAGAGCCTAGCTTCTCGATCCTGGAAATACACTCCATCCTTACCAAAACAACCGGCATTGCTGAAATGTTGCTCGGAATTTTGCCTTTGACTAATATCTTCTCGTCCGTCCTTGGTTCATCTCTCATCTTTGAATCTTTGAAAGCAAAACCTAGGTCAGTTATCAAGAAGGATCTATCGATCCCAATTTTCTTTAAAAAAAAAAACTATAAAGATTTGAGGTTTTAATCGTACCTGCGGATGGTCCAGACTCCAACCCATCATCAATGTGGGCCAAATTGGGTATTTGATTAGAAAGAATTGAATCGAGAGTGTTCTTTAGCTGGTCTGGTATAGTAGCTCTGTATTCTAGAATCTCTCCGTCATTTTCTTCACTTCCGATTCCAGCTCCTCCAAGTCCTTCGGACTCGGGATCCGATTCAGCCCGTTGATCGCCGATGCGGGGTATCCAGGGTTTTGATTTTGCTTCTTAGTGCCATCGATTAAAGGAGAAGATTAGAGTTTGCTCGCAGAGAGCTTGTGTCGGACGTTAGGGTTTTGAAATTTGAAAATTTTCCAGCCTCTTCCCTATTATGTTTGGCTTTTAGCTCATTAGCTCGTTTTGAATCTTCTAACATAATGAGCGGTGAAACTAGGGATGACACGGACTTGATGAGTTTGATCCGGTTCGACCTAATGGAGTTGAATTTTTAATATTATGTTTGATTAGGTTAGATTTGTGTTAGGATAAAATATTCGATTCAATCATATTAAAATGATATAATTTTATCTTATATATTTAGAGATAATAATAATATCTATTTATATATTATTTTCTTTCAATTAAATTTTATTTCTATCGAATAAAAATAATATTTTTTAATATTATATTATTTCGGATTGAGTCGAGTCAAATTCGAATTTTATCAAAATCAGATCGAATCGAGTGAAAGACGTATATTTTCAGGTCGAGTTGAATTGATCGTATTAACCAGGCCCACTAGAACTAAACAAGTCAACGGTGTCGTTTGAGCGCTTGCTTGCGACCCCATTAACAATTTAAAACTAAGCTAAACCAGAATCAAACAATCTCTTGCATTCAAGCCAATTATGAATAGGTTTAATTTTAAATAAAATTCAATTTTGTTTTTTTTAAGAAAACGATATTATTGTCTTTCATTTGTTAATCATGCATTTCACAAACAATAAAAGTATTTCCATTGGAATAGTAAGTATTATAAATATTACTAGCACTAGTAAATTTATGCATAACAAAGTAGAGAAACTTTGACTATTTACATGGAATCAGACAAGATAAGAATTTAAGTCCACACAAAAGGCTTAGAATTACAAGCATTTCTAAACTTAGGAAACTTACGTACATGAGATCATAAAACATTACATCAACTATTTTTTTTAATATTCGAAGTGATTATAAAGTAGTATTTATTTATATTTTTAAATGATTAACGATGTGTATACATTTTACAGATATAACTACTCGAACCTAAGACTTCTAAAGAAAACAATACTCCTTTTCACCATTAATGTCACTTGATAGGTTCACTAGAGTAATTTAAGATACAAACCACCAACATTTTACAAACTAAAATTATTTTATGAAGTTAAAACACTAAACAATAACTAAGTTGCAAACCGAATTACCTCAGCCGTTAAAAAATGATTGGTATTCTTAAAGGTTCAGAGTTTGAGTACCAGTGATTACATCAAGAGTAATTGAATGTTATTATAAATTGAGAGTATTAGAAATATACCATTTGTAATATCTTAATAAAAAAACTAATTACTAAGTTTACCTCAAATGTGAAGTTTTTTACACAACAATTGGAATTTATATAATTAAATGATCTTATTAATAAAATTATTCTCAATGTTAGCACAAATAATAATTTTGGCCATTAACGTTTGACACTTGTTGGAAGAAAAGTTATGTACGTATTTTAATTAAAATGATAATTTTAGATACTTACTTGAAAAAAATGTTTTAGATGTTTAGATAAAGAATATAATATATTTTAGGTATTATTTGTGATATCAGCCTAAAAAAAACTAAACTATCAAACTATTACAAAAATATCATTAAATTTATCAAAAAAATATTATTTTTTTGGATAATTTTGATTTTATTACCCATCTCAAGGTTTAGTTACAACAATCCACCAATCAACAATGAAAGAATCAAAATTACAGCCTACAAAATGATTGGTTAGACTATACCCCAAGCATTACAAAGTATTAGGTTAGTACTATCTAGTCTATTAATATTTGTTCCCCTAAGGCGAATTTCAACAACGTCTTTAACCTCTTTGAGCAAGCAATCAATCGTTCTACGACGTCTTTGGAATATTCTCTGGTTTCTTTCTTGCCACAGAGAGTAAATAAAAGCAGTCCAGGAAATTTTCAAGATGGAAGTAAGAAGAGACTTCCCTTTCCATGATGAACATGTCTTTGAAACCATTTCATCCCATGATAAGTAAGTGATCTTCATCCCATTAAGATTCAAAATTGAATACCAGAGTTCCACTGCTAGAGACATTGCGAAAAGAGATGGTCCCTTGTCTCGTAAGTTGCAATAATTAACACAAAGACTGTCTGTGGTAATTCCCATTCGAAGTAGGCGGTCTCTAGTAGGCAATTTGTTCAGTAATGCCATCCAAGTTATCAAGCTAAACTTTGGAAATGCAATGGAAACCAAATAAGTTTATGCCATGAAACATTTTGCCCTTTGAATCGAACCAAAATCCAAATTTCCCTAATATGCGGTGAACCGGCTGAAAAAATTAGAAAAGCTTCAGCCCTTGTTTTTAAGATTCTGCTGATACTCCAACTTACATTTGCAGTAGCTCGGAAATGCCAAAAGTCCTGCTCCTTGAAAAAAAATATATTACATGGACCATTTTGTATCAATTTGATAAGTTTAATAATTATTTGTAACATTTAAAAGTTTGAATGCCCAAAAACATTATTTTGATGTAGTCCAGTGACTTGTTGTCTTTAGCCTTCTCAAAATTCAAATAAAGGTGAGGTTAGGGTTTAGGCAAACAAGAGGAAGAAAGAACAGTCGCTTCAAAGGCGGAACAACAGAGGAGTATGTCGAAGAAGAATAGTTTAGCTCGTCGAAAAAGACAACACGATTTCGATCAGAAGTACGAAATTCTTCAATTTACTCCTCATCTTTCTCTGATTTTTATTTTTGAAGTGATTTATGATTTGTATTATCTTGGAAAATTAGGGAGAAAGAGAAGAGGAGAAGAAGGCTAAGAAGCTTCAAGCAAAGAAGAATAAGATGAAGGTGAGACTGTTACTCTTTCACTGGTTAACAAAATTTCATTTTAATTCTGTTTATTTAAGGATTTATATAATGGGTAAGTGCAGGTTGATGGTAATGGGAAGAAAAGAAGAACGGTGGAAGCGGTTTCAGGTAGGAAGAGGAAATGAAGACCAAGTTAACTGAAGCTGCTAAAGCCAAAGCAGCTCAAGCAATGGAGCCGACAAATGAGGTTCGGTTCGTTCAGTTGAGCTTCATAAGGTGAGACTGTTACTCTTTCACTGGTTAACAAATTTCATTTTAATTCTGGGTAAGTGCAGGTTGATGGTAATGGGAAGAAAAAGAAGAACGGTGGAAGCGGGTTTCAGGTAGGGAAGAGGAAATTGAAGACCAAGTTAACTGAAGCTGCTAAAGCCAAAGCAGCTCAAGCAATGGAGCTCGACAAATGAGGTTCGGTTCGTTCATGTTGAGCTTCATGGTTATTTAATTTAGAGGATATATATTCTTGTTAAAGAGATTAAACCCTGAGAACAAACTTTTAGTAAATTTCGCAATTACCCTTTTAATTTGACAGATACTCATCTCTATTGTTTGAGTTTTACGATCTATGCTATAGCTTTACCTTAACCTATTTGTCTTAACAATTGAACCGAATCCCCCCCCCCCCCAAAAAAAAGCGCTCAAGTCCCTTCACAATTGACTGTAGTAATATATGATAAGCTTGATAATTTTAATCTCGTTTGTCTGTGTTGACTCAGCTTGGAATATAACTTTTGAGCGAGTCGAGTTAGCATTAAATTTTTCGAAACAAATCGGGCTCAATATATAGAGTTTTTGAACGCTCACACTCCTGATATATATGATGTTTTTACACGGATCCTTAGAAATAACAAACAATTCTTTTACTACGGAAGTAATTTGGAGTCCACGAAACAATTTGTTTGAATCATCAAGAAATGTTGTCCGAAGCCGTCAATTCTCTATTTGTTATTAGGAACCCATGATTCTTGGTTGTTAGAAATTTTCGAGAAGGAAATTAAAATCAAATATTAAGAGGAGTAAATTTTTTAGATAAATTATACGTTCATTATTTTAATTATTATTTTTGTTTCATTTTAATCATTTAATTATTTACTTTTTAAAATTATTTCAAATTTTTAGTTTTGGTTTTATTTTGATCATTTGTAGTTAAAAAATTAAAGGTGATGTTGACATGTCATTATAAAATAATGTCGCGTTATCATTGAAAAAATAAAAAAAATATTACACCAGCAGTTTTGTAACTTTTTAACGGTGAGGTGATCAAAATATAACGTTAGCATAATTTTTTTAAAAAAAATTGAATGACTAAAATATAATACGTGTAATTTATTCAATATTTTCATAAAAGAATAAATCAACTTGAATATTAAAATTTAAATATTAAAAAACTAAAAAAAATATTTAACAAATATTTAAACTTAAAAAGTTTATTATACCAAAAAATTTTAAAATCATCCCCTCTCGTATCCCTTGGTTCCATCTCCGAATTCGATAATTTTATCGTTGTGTTCTTGAATCATAAATACTGAGACGGTGAAAGAGAGTCGATAGACTTTGCCTCAAAGAAAGTTTTGGATTAATGAAAAGTTTTAATGATTTTCGATCTTTTGGGAAAAAATATATATCAGATTAAACGGTAATTTTATCTAAAAATATTCAAAATAATAAAAATTATCAATTTAAAACCATTTTCGAATATGTACTAAACCAACATCTTTTTTTACAAAATAAGATGGAAGAGTGTTGTGTGAAACGCGCCTTGCTGAGGTAGATGAAAGGTACGTTGCAGGGGCGCTTTCTATGGGTTTCTGCTAATATGGTGTCACGGTGGAAGGCGCGATGTAGGGCACGCTCTTTTAATACCGTTTTTAATATCAATTTAGGGTTAAGATTAACTGGGCAATTTAGGGTTTTTTATATTAAAATGGTTTTGGGTTTTAGGTTAAAGTGATTTAGGGTTTTTTTTCTTCAAATGGATTAGGATTAGATTAAAATTAAAAGTCTTAATCACAATAACTAAACTCTAAATTGAAAATAATGAACCCTAAATTGGTTGAGGGTTAGGGTTGGTTGAGCGCCTTAAGTTGATTGAGTGATTTAGGGTTTTATGTTAAAATAGTTTAGAGTTTTCTTTATTTAAGGTTACTAAACCTTAAACAAAAAATGAACCCTAAACATTAAATTATAAAAAAAAATGAAGAAAGTCACATCTTGTAAAAGAAAAGAAAGAAAAAAAAGAAAATCACATAAATTGAAAGTATAAGAATCATATAAATTGAAATATTAGAAAATGCAATTACATAAGTAATGGTCAACAAATAAGTGATGATAAAAGATGTATATTTTTTTCTATTGTGGTCTAGGTTTATGTAATGCTCACATCTTTTATGTTCTTTTGACGTCTCTCGAATATTCATATCACAATAAATTTGAGTGGATTTTGAACGACCTAACTCCCTTAATAACAACGAATATGATATAATTGTAAGATAAGTCTAAATCTCATTTGGGTCATTTTCATTACCTATGGGGGAACTCAAATTCATATACCTTGAATACTTACGAAAATTTGTATACGAGATCGATATAAATTTTATAGTCCAAATGGGAATGTGAGCTAGTTGTTATGACATGGGAGTATGAATACTTTAGAACTTGAAGAAAAAAAACCACAATCACACCGCCTTTCTTGTAGGTTAACTCTAAAAGAGTTAGATTCAATCCCTTGAAGAGGTCGTGGCGTTTCTGTCACACAAAATAATTCATGGGTGCGAGAAAAATTTGTTACTAACATTCCATTTGATGTTGTAACCTTTTTCTGTAGGTCTACTATTTATCTTGGGTGATAAAAATGGTCGTTTTGCATCCAAGTAAGAGTTTGTCCCTCAGAGTTTGACAAAAATCTTACTCAAATGAAAATACGCCGTTTTAACCAAAACAGTTACAGGTAAATGACATGCCTCTTTTGAGGTTGAATTGATAGCCTCAGTCAAATTGATTTTCATATGATCATATCGATATTCACCATCGTATGCACGTGTCCACATTTCTTTATTGATAGCTATGATGTAATTGCATTATTGCTCATTTTTTTCCTTATAACTCTTGAAACATAAACTCAAACCTTTGAAGTAAGAGTTTGTAACTTAAGCCATATGTACTAGTTAGTGTGAACTAGAAATAAATAAAATAAAATTGTTTGAAATGAAATTGAAAAAAATAACATACCCATGTGTATAAGTAGTAGATGTTCATCATTCTTCTTATATTTTCATGGTAGTTTGTAGCAATATATAGGATATACTAACAATGTTGAACATGTGGAGTTTCCACATTTGAACCAAAGATTCATTGATGCTTTGATCCCAACTCCACAATCTGAAATAATGTAAATATGTTCCCTCGTGACAACTGTAATCGTAAATTTTTTAGGAAAAATCTCATGGCTTTGTATCTTCTCCTTCAACAAGGGCAAATAAAACGGGAAGAATGTTATGGTTACCATCTTGGACAACTGCCAATAATAAAATTTGCTTGTATTTTCCACACAATAATGTACCATCAATTTGGAGCACCGATTTGTAATATTTCACTGTGGGTAAGTAAAAAATTGGTAGAATTGACATTGATCTCGAACCACTCGGTCATTCTCATAAGCATAGCGAGTTTTGAACTCTTGTCCTAAGATTCAGTCTTTGAATTACTTTAAACCAAGTGGGTAACTTGTTGCAAAAAGAATCCCACTCGCTGTGAAGTTTTATAATGACATTCTATTTTGCCTTCCATGCTTTTTTGTAGGAGACAATGTACCTATATTGTGATTGTATAACAAAAATCAACAGTGCAATAAGCTATATGTGAGCTTACTTTGACCATGGGTTTGATGGCTTGGCAAACAATGTTAGAGTCTAAGTTTGGATGGTTTTAGTTGATCCCTCTTGCACAACATGTATGAAGACCTTTGTATGTTGTTAGTTCCCATATATTGTTCTTCCTCTTTGATACATGAATCATCCAGTTGCATCAGTTATCATGTTAGATATAGTGGCATACTTTTTGATAGTGAATCGATTGACTCTAGAGTGAGTTGAATTGTGAATATTTTAATTCTTAATTGCAATCATTGCTTCGTCTTTGTGAGCTTAATTCTAGTATATAACTCACTATCATTGACTGATGAGTTAAATCCATAATCTCTAACATTAGGCATATCCAGAAATTCTGGCTCGTACATTGCATCATAGTCAGCTTCATACATATGTGTTGGAGGTTCAATTTGTGCCATATTTATGAAAACTTCATCTGCAACATTATCGGAGTCCATGTTAAATTGTGGTGATTCGAGTTCAACGAATAATCCTATCTTAGTACCATCCGTACCTGACTCACAAAGAGGTTCTTCTGGTGGAGATGAGGGTTTCTCTGTCAATTTGATGTTCAGGTTGAACAAGTTGGCAGATGAATGTCTTCCCCTTGAACTTGAAGGCATTGTGTCATAGGTTTTGAATAGATTGTTGTGTCAATACATCTCCATATTGAGATCCAAGAAGTTGACAGATGAATGTCTTCCCCTATAACTTGAAGGCATAGTGTCATATGGGTATTGAACAGACTGTTGTGTCGATGACATTTCCATGTTGAGATCAAAGAAGATGGTAGATGAATGTTTTCCCCTTGAACTATAGGGATGTCGCCATATGGATTGTTCGTGGAGCCACCTCGGTAAAGATCATAAGTAGTTGCTGATGAGTGTCTCCTCATTGAAGTTGATGACATACCATTAGGAGGTAAATTTTACCATTAATGATGTGATCTCATTACAAATTATTTGCCATTAATGGTGCACTCCCCACAAGACAGATAGAACATATGTGTCTATGGTCTCCACCTTTCAATTAGTGCAAAATTAGGGTGGGTTCAAATTTACAGCCTCTAACAATTTTGGCTATGTAACCAAAACCAGAATCAGATAAATACCGTTGATACGACACGATGTGTTTATCTTGTTGTTAAAATAAAAAATTCTAACATACGATCATTTTCCTAATTAATAAACATTAGCAAAATGACATAATTTAATATTTTTACCATATTAACAAAATTACTCGAAATATGATTTGCATCTAATCGCAGCATCTCGCCTTCCATTTCATAACTACAAAAAAAAAATAGTAATCACAAGTGCTAGGTAGCATAAGCCTATTTTGCCTTCTAGAGAAGGCATACTTGGACTGTGTATACTGTCCAATATTCTTACATATCAACTCTTTTTATGTTTCATTTCGAAATTCCTGTCTTGATGCTTAGTTTAAAAGCTTATATACTTGTCTGTTTTGATATCTGTAGGGGCGATTTGAGATATTATGTCTGTCAGGCTCCTACCTGCTGACCGAAATAGTGGCTCTTGCAATCGAATTGGTTGTCCAAGTGTTTCCCTTGCCACTCCTGATGGCCGCGTCATTGGTGGAGGAATTGGAGGGACACTCATTGCAGCAAGCCCGGTTCAGGTGACTCTCCGTTGCTATGATAACTAATATTCTATTTGTATCTCTTCTCTACGTGGA